GATGCATGTGGTTCCGCCAGTCTCCATGTCGTCAAGGTCCTTGTTGGTCTCGACAAAGGAAACTATGCTGGTGTGGTGGACGTTTATGCTGAGACGCAGAAGCAGTGGTTTGCGGACAAGAAGTCTCCGCTACAGCCTGTGCTGTTTACTCAGTTCCAGAACTGGTCTGTCAACGCACGGCAGCAGTGGAAATAGGTGATGATGTATAAGTACAAGCGCGTAGTTCTAATAGCATGTCTTGTGTAAGCCTCGATCTATGAAACTGTTGAGACTCTTTCAAGTCTGGCATCCTCTCCATGAAACCAAGCCAAAGGAATGTTGATGCAATTTTCCGACTTGTTTAAACTCAGACGTGACTTCTGAGCCAGAGTGGAGCTGTCGCGTGGTGACTACCTTTCTTTCGGTAATGGTGGCAGGTATCCACTTTTGTTTGCCCCGCCGCGGGGAGGAGCTCTAGAAGCCTAGCCTATGTCATAACAACCGAATTTACGTGCAAACCGTCGCGACTTTCTACACCGTACCTCGCCCACATCAACTTTGACCAAACATGGCCTGTACGCACGTAAACGCGCCCGGTAAGTACCAAATCTTTCCCCCGACTCCATTCTCATACAGCAAAAGAAATGAAGGGTGGCAAACATGCTTCAGACGCCTTCATTTGCTCTATGGCTACATCCTCACCCTAGACAGTACTAACACGTCCCAGAGCTTCACCCACCAGGGCCAACGCAGTCTGTGTACCGGGAGGACTGCACCCAGTGCTTCGACTCGATCGACGACCCCACCGGCCTCGACGTGTGCCTCTACTGCTTCAATGGTGGGTGTACGAGCGATCGCAACCACTCTCTCCTCCACGTGTCGTCCACGAACCACCCCCTCGTCCTCAATATCAAGCGCACGCGAAAGAGGGTCAAGCGCGATGAGCCTCCTCAGAAGATGACCAAGCTTGCTGTTGCAGCTGAGACCGAAGCAGACCGCTACGATACTACGACACAAGTCAAGTGCTACGAGTGCGGGGTTGACGACGTAGACAAGAGCTCGGGGAAGCTGCCCAACATTGTGGACGCAGTTCTCAAGGCGAACACGTTCGCGAAGCAGCAGGAGGTCAAGGCGTGGGAACAGGAGTTGACTGCTTGCGAACATACTCTCTGTCTGGAACAACAAGCGGCGCGACAGATCGAATCGCAGAACCTGGGTCACTGCTCAGAGTGTGAGCTTAACGAAAACCTCTGGCTGTGCTTGACCTGCGGCAATCTGGGTTGTGGTCGTCAGCAGTTCGGTGGCGTTGGTGGCAACTCACACGGTGTAGGGCACACCAAGTCGACTGGCCATCCTGTCGCGGTCAAGCTCGGATCTCTCACTGCGGATGGCACGGCTGATATCTACTGCTACGCCTGTGACGAAGAGCGCATCGATCCAGAACTACCGGACCACCTAGCACACTGGGGCATCAACATTAAGGACAGGGTGAAGACTGAGAAGAGTCTTACGGAGATGCAGGTCGAGCAGAACTTGCGCTGGGACTTTGCTATGGTCACCGAGGATGGCAAGGAACTGCAGCCATTGTTCGGAGCAGACTTCACGGGCCTAAAGAACCTTGGCAACAGCTGCTATCTGAACAGCACCCTGCAGGCCCTGTTCTCCATTCCAGAGTTCAAAGATCGTTACTACCTTCCCAACGAAGCTCCGCCAGAGGCGCCACTCCCTGCCGAGGATTTGGAAACCCAAATGCGCAAAATCGCAGACGGCATGATTTCAGGTCGATACTCAAAGCCAGATAGCGACGTCATCACCAACGAGCACAATCCGGAGGTTCCACACCAACGCGGCCTTGCGCCTGCCATGCTGAAGCATCTGATCGGACGAGGCCACGCCGAGTTCTCAACCATGCGACAACAGGACGCGTTCGAATTGCTTCTGCACGTACTCCAACTTGTTTCACGCAGCAAGCACGTTGAGCCCCATAAGGATCCGGTCGGTGCTTTCCGCTTTGCGATGGAACAGCGGTTACAATGTGTCAGTTGCAAGCGCGTTCGATACAAGACAGACGAGCAAGAGAATATTTCCATCCCAGTTCCCATCCGGCGGATACCAAAAGACTCGCAGATGGACGTCACCAACAACGACGGCAAGAAGGAAGAAAAGGAAGAGTTCGAGCCAGTCACGCTGAAGGAGTGTCTTGACATCTTCACAGCCGAAGAACTAGTTGAGCTTACTTGCGGTGCATGTGGCAGCAAGGATGGCTTTACGAAGAGGAGCATGTTCAAGACCTTCCCCTCAGTGTTGGCCGTAAACGCAAGGCGCTTTGAACTGGTCAACTGGGTGCCTACCAAGCAGGATGTTCCTGTCATTGTCAACGATGAACCTTTCTCCTTCGATGCCTACAAGTCAAACGGTTTGGTAGAAGGTGAGGAGCTTCTCCCGGAGGATGTAGACACAGGAGCGTCCGGCGGTTCGAAGTGGTCACCTAACGAGGCGGCACTTTCAATGCTTGAGGCTATGGGATTCCCTCGGGTTCGATGTGAAAAGGCTCTACATGCTACTGGTAACGAAGATGCCGAAGCAGCGATGAACTGGCTGATTGGACATATGGAGGATCCAGATATCGACGACCCCGTCGACTTCAACGCTGGGTCTGGTGGAGGCGCAGCCGCTGCATCTGTTCTCGACCCTGAAAAAATCGAGAACCTAGGAGCTATGGGCTTCAACGCTCCACAGGCACGCCAGGCTCTGAAGGAGACGGGTGGTGACATGGAGCGCGCTGTCGACTGGTTGTTTAGCCACCCCGATGCACCGGGCGATTTCGACGAAGGCGGTAGCTCTGAGGCACCTGCGGAGCCGACAGAGAAGAAGTTGGCTGGTAGTGAGACGCTGCCTGCAAACTTCCAGCTCCAGTCGATAGTATGCCACAAGGGTAGTTCGATACACGCCGGGTAAGTTTTCCGCATTTGGACCCTTGTGGAAGGAGATTCGCTAACACGCCATAGACACTACGTTGCGTTTGTGCGCAAGCAGTTGCCAAGCGAGCAGGCTGCGTCATGGGTTCTCTTCAATGACGAGAAGGTGGCCAAGGCGGCGGACATTGAAGAGATGAAGAAGTTTGCCTACGTGTATTTCTTCCGACGTTTGTAAGACAACGGGTCTAGGTCCCTCACCACGGACTAGCATAGCGAAAGCGGAGTTGTGTCGGGTTAGCATTAGCATTGATGAAACGGCGAAACGAGAGCGGTATGGGAGCATTGCGGCGCAAGCTGCTAGATAGCATCAGCATGGCTGTAGGCGATATGAATGGAGCTGAAGTTCCATCTGATAGCAGGACGAACGGAGATAGCACTCGTTCGCCGGTGATCTGGAGCGGTTCTCCGAGATGATTCCATGATAAGTGTGGGGTATGTGTGCGCACGGACATTACGTCGCCGGCGGCCGGGCGTGGCTTTTCATCATTACTTCAATTGTCCGTCGCCATCCACCTCCGCTACACCTACACCAACATCCAACCGCTACCCGAACTATTGCCAAAACCCACCAAAGATACTACCAAACCTCAAAACACCACACACACCGATCCCCACCATGTTCAGGAGAGTCGCTGCAGCAGTGCCCGCTCAGGCAGGAAGAGTGCTCGCAACCGCCGCCAGGCCCAGCATCGTTTCGCCCATTCGCACAGCAGCACCCGCAGTCTCAGCAGTTGGTCGGCGGCAGTACCACGAGAAAGATAAGTCGCTCTTTCCTCTCGTTCGGAAAATCGATGTGGTGGCGACATGGGAGTCCGATCGGAATCACCTCGTCATCGCACCACCATCTCCGACTAACTATATGTGAGAACGCTCAGCTAACATTCGCAGCACTGCTCGACCACTACAACAAGCCCCGCAATGTCGGCTCCATGTCCAAGACGGACAACGACGTCGGTACTGGACTAGTCGGCGCACCCGCCTGTGGCGACGTCATGAAGCTCCAGATCCGTGTCGACCCCAACAGCAACACCATTAGCGATGTCAAGTTCAAGACCTTCGGCTGCGGCAGCGCGATTGCGAGTTCGAGTTACCTGACCGAATTGGTCCGGGGCATGACACTGGAGGATGCGTCGAGGATCAAGAACACAGAGATTGCAAAGGAGCTTTGCCTACCACCTGTAAAGCGTGAGTATCCCACAATACGAAAAGCGAGAACCATGACCAGATTACTAACTGCTTGCAGTGCATTGCTCCATGCTTGCTGAAGACGCCATCAAATCCGCCATCTCCAACTACTACACCAAGAACCCCAACGCACGGCAAACAGACCTTGGCGGCAAGTCGGCGCCGCTGCCAAAGGTGGAGATTGAGACTGTTTCCTCAGCGACGGCTTAGGAAGGACGATGACGATGATGATGTAAATTGATACCAAGGGGACGAGAAGGAAGGTTGGAAAGGGAAGTTTCCTGATGTTACCTGCATTCAGTCTTTCGCTACTCAATGTACCGGGTATGACTTGGGCGTTTGAGCGTTACGGCGGCTGGCTTCCTGTATAGTAGGTTGAGAGTACATATGTTTTATCGCAATGAACAAAATTCTTAATGCGAAGCCATGGGGTTGGATTGTGATGTGATGTGTAACGAACGAACAGCGGAGGCAACTGCTGGGGAGGGTGGACTTAGGCCTATCTAAATTGTAGTACGCAACAGCGGAAGTCGGCTATGTGATTGTCTTATGAGCTGAGTGTCACGCCATGCAGGTGCTCTACATCTGATTATCCTCTGCATCAGATGATGCATGTATCAACGCGTTATGCAGCCTTGTAGCGTCTTTGTAGATCAGAATCGCATGAATCCAGTCTCACGTAGATCATGCTCTAATTATGCGAACGATGTTTAGTCGCCCTCATGAAGTTTAGGTAAAAGTGAAAGGGCTTATGACGCTTTGGACCCTGCCGTGGTTCACGCCTCGGCCCAGGTCGTCCTCCGAAACTCTACCTCTCCAACCCACGCTTCACTCCCGACTCTCCCGTAACTGCCCAGCATGTCGACGGCCCAAGAAGAAGAGGCAGTCCCCGCTATACGATTTAAGCGCCGCAAGATCGCGCACCCGAAGCGCGTCTATACCGAAGACGATGCGCCTACAGTCTCCGCCTCAGATGCGCCCGTTGCTGCGATTTCCAACGACGCGCCTGTCTCGCCGACCGAAGGCAACGATGAAGAAGAGTCGGTGCCGAACCTGAAAGAGATATTGCGCAACAGAAAGCGGCCCCGCGACCGACTGAAGGAAACTACGCGCAAAGCAGAGCCGCCGCGGACAGAGGTGGTGCAAGTAGAAGCACCCCGGCCAGACCAGTATACCAGCCGCTTCGTCGCGCAGACAGGACAGGTGGTAGATCGCGATGACAAGCAGATGTGAGTGGGCTCTTCGCCAGATCACAACAGGCTCGAATGAGGGCACCGTCAAGCATGGAGGCTAATGTGCCAGGTCGGAATACGTAGAAGCCCGCATGGCTGAAAAGAACTATCGCCAGTACGGCTGGCCCATGCCAAACCACCTCCAGGCTTCTGTAGCCGCCATCGCACCAGATCTGCGACATACCTTCGCCACCAGTTTATCGACACAGGGCGCGACCAGTAGCACCGAGAGTCCTGCGGATAACGAACATAGCAACCGGTTGGCGGCAGGCCAGGGCAAGCTTCAGGAAGTAGACCTGGGTCCTGATGCTGCGGCGCGCACCGAACAAGCCTGGAAACGATGGGACAAGGGCGAGCCAGAACCACCAGCAAGCAAAGCGCGACGAGACAAGTATGGCTACGCGTGGCGCAAGCCCAAAGCCAACGGCAAGACGGAAGAAGACAAGCGACGCGATCAGATGGTCGAAGCTGTACTGAAAGAAGCCAAACGTACGTTCCCATCCCCATTTCCCTCCCCCTTCTCACACGACATCTATACTAACATCTCCAGTCGACTTCTTCGACTCGACAACCCCCGCAAACCCCCACGCCAATACTTCCACCAACACCGACGACGCCCTCGTCGAGCAGTTCCGCAACGAATACTTCGAATCCATGGAAGCGAAACAACAAGCGAGGAAACCACCTGCTCCCCCCGTCAAGGGTGCGCCGCCACCTATTACGGGACCCAAGCTTGGTGGCAGCAAGAGTGCCAGAGCCAAGATGCACAAGTTACAGCAGGAGGAGGCTGCGAGGAAGAAGAGGTAATGTTTGCTGTACATGGATTTTTTGTGTTGTTGTTGCGGTTTGCCCGCTGCGAGCGGTTCATGGGTTGCCATTTCATGGGGTTTGATGCACGGTCTTGTTGGTTGGTTGTTTTGGATCTTGGATTCTTCGTCTTGTTTGATCCTCACATTGAAAGAGGGATTGAGATGTTAACACCATTTTTGTTTAGTGGCGCAAGGACGAACGCTGGACGAGTGCTTGAACGATCAGAGTGGATGGATACGCAGGTCAAGAAGACGACTTGGTATAGCGGTTAGTGAGATCGGTATCTGAGGTTATGGGTTCTTCCGGTACGACGATTGAGACTGGGGGCTCAAGGTGCTTCAAATCCAATAATGGCATATCGATATCTTACATACAAAAAAACTAAAACACCCAAGACTTAGTCATATATACTAGTTCAACGCCAAACAAATACCCTGGTTATACTATACCCATACCCAAAAAAAACCTATACCCATATCCTCATAACAGTCATCTCAAAGCTTCCTCGGAGCAGTAGCACCCGGTTTCTTCGCCGCCCCATTCCCAACCCCCCCTTTCTTCGCAGTCCCATTCGCCGCACCCCCTATCTTATTCGGCGCCTTCTTCCCCTCCATCTTCTTCGCCGTCGACAAATCCCCCATCTTCCCCGCCAACTCCCCCGTCTTCTTCACAGCCGCCGCTTGCCCCTTGTTGCTCACTTTCTCAGGCACCTGCACAGCACCGCTGGGTGTCACTTTGATCGGCACACCGCCTGCTGTCATGAACGTAGTCCCCTTCTTCTCTTGCGCCTTCTCAATTTCCTCTTTGCCGACCTTGATCTTGACGCCGTTTGCCATGGTCAGCGTGCCGCTTTTCTTGGCTTGTTCGACGGCGGGTTCGGGGACTTTGATCATGACGCCTGAGGCTGTCATTACTTCTTTCATGGGGCCTGTGGGTTGTGGTGGTGTGGGTTTCTTGGCTGCTGCCGCGGGGTTCGCTCGGGCGTGTGCGGCGGTGCCTGGTTTGGGGGCTGTGGCTGTGGGTTTCTTTGCTGAGGATGTTGGGAGATTTACGGCGCTTTGGGCTCGCCTTACTGCTGGTGTCGCAGCAGTGGGCGTTTGCAGCGTCTTGGTCATGGGTGGCGGCAGTGCTGTGCTTGCTCTTCTCATTCCGTTGGGCATTACAGCACCGCTTGCGATAGCTGTTTCCTTGACTAGTTTGGCGAGGTTTTCTTGCGTAAGCCGTTGCACTTCTGGTACTTCTTTTGGGCCTGCGGCTTGGGCTGCGCCCATTTGTGCGGCGCCTTCAATCATCTTTTCTAGTTGCTCAGGGCTTGGGAGGCCTTTGATATCGCCGCCTTGACCTAGCAGTGTTTTCATGTGCGTTTGGAAGAATTCTTTGGCGCCGGGTATGGGTAGGTCTTCGGGGGATGCACCGTAGGCTACGGTTAGAGCCATCATGACGGAGGTTATTGGAGCGAAGATCTTGACGAATTCGTTCCAGTTGCCGCTCTTGACTTCGGTTTCGATTTGGACGGCTGGGCGGGGGACGGTTCGGATGGTCTTGTTTCCGCCTCTGCTGCTCTCGCTCTTGGTGTCCATGTCCAGGTGGTTCTTCCAGAAATCTTCGGCGGGAAAGCGGTTGTGGCGGCTGAAGTATTCTAGCATGTAGTCCTTCTCCCTCCAACGGTTTCTTAGCCAGACTTCGAAAGCGTGTGTGTTCTCGTATGGAATGTCGTCGAGGTGGAATCGTCGCCAGTGCATGTTCACTGACTTGGGAGGCCGGCCTTCGAAGAAAGAGGAGCGCAGAGTGAAAATGTCCTGACCGAATTGACCTTCTGGCACGCCTTCGTATGCGATGGTGCAGTCGTACAGCCAATCTGTCGTTTCTCTCAGTTCATTGAGGCAGAACTTGAGACCAGTGCTGCGTGGGAGCAGTTGGTGCTTCATGTCCTGCAACGCATTTTTCTTCGCCCATTGCTGGCTCTTTTCGCGTGTAGTCTTGGATAGATTCGTGCCCTCAGGAAAGATGATCAGCCACATGGGATCTCCCTTCTTGTTCAGCTTGCTGAGATGTTTCTTGAACGTGCGCTGATCTTCCTCCCATTTTCTAGATAGAAAAATGAAGTTGTAGAACTGAGCGCCCCATCCGATGATAGGAATGTTCTTCAGCGACTCTTTCAGAATGATGTAGATGAAGCCGTGCATGTTGTTCGTATATGCGATCCACCAGATGTACAGCCAGTCAGTGTAGAGTTGATGGTTTGCCATGAGAACCATACGGTCTGCAAAATTGCATTGCAATGATCCATCTTTGCGTTTGATAAGTTGGCCAACCATGCTAGAGTCTCCAGATACACGGACGACAGTCGGAGCCCACCATTGGGTGAGACATGTGATCAGGATGGCGAAGCATTCTTTGGTGTAGGCCATGTACCCATCGTAGAATTGCGGGTCAATCAACTTTAGCGGTGCGCCTAGGAATTGGGATGCGCTTATACTGTCATGTATTAGTTGGGTGTATCTGGAGGTGGACATGGACGTGCTTACGCCAGAACGCCGGACAAGAACGTCGAGGCTAACGTGAAAGCCCGTTCTGCCTGTGTCAACTCGCCAAAGCGCGGTGGCCCAGCCGGATGCGCCTCGACATTGTCTTTCGAGATTCGCAATCCAGCACCGAGGTCATCTTTCTTCTTCCTCTTAACAGCAGCTGGTACCGGGGGCTTGGATGCTGATTGGCTCGCTGGAGTCGGTTTTGGAGCCGTCGCCTTCTTCACTGGGGGTTTGGCAGCCGGCGATTTGGTAACGACCGGCTTCTTCGTAGCAGTAGCAGGCGACATCTTCCACAGTTGGCACACGAGCGAACATCGAAGTCCAAAACGTCAAACACGACTATCAGCACCAGTGACGGGCTACCCGCGACGTCAGTGCAGGCTAACGGTTCCAGGTTCGAGATCAAGATGGATGCTCCACTTGCGCGTCGTCAACCCCTGTCAGCGAGCCGTGGCATGACGTTATGTGTGGCGGCGTACAACCAAGTCAAGCAAGCAAGATATTCGAGACACGCTGTTACCCCTTCCTTAGTCTCTTGGTCTACTCAATAACACTATACTCGCTCCGCAGTAGATACCAATTCTCGAGAACGTCTCCATTACATCCCTCTTCCAACAATCCCATCATATCTATATCACAACTACGGTACGTTCGATCGTGACAGCTGTCGGCCCTGGCGCATGCTCGAGTGGTGCACGCGAGCACCTTCATACAAATTTGGGCTCGAGACTGACACATATCACAGAATTAATCCGACAACACACGTCATTCTCCATCATGCCCGCAGCCTCAGTAGCATCAGCGCCGGCAAAGCGCACCACCAACAAGGCCACCGCTTCAAGGGCTCCCAAGAAGGCTACCCAGGGCGCAAAGAAGCCCCAGACGAATGGCGCAACCAACGGAGCGTCGCAACCCCAGATGTCACCATACACTATCATGGCTTCGAGGATCGCAAACCGCGTCGCTGAAATGGCAGAGAACATGACATTCGTCGAGCGCGAGAAGTGTGTATCTCCAAACTTCCTTGAATTTTCCCCTGTCATACTTTCTCTGGTTCCGGTTGCGACGGCGTGGAAAATCAGGGACACACTACACAACTGCCGACTGGAATTTGGACCCCTATCGCATAGTCACAGATCTAGACGTACATTTGCTGACAAGTTCTGGTAGGCCCCAACAGCAAGCGCAACAGCAGCAACAACAGCAGTCTGCCCCGTCCAACTCGGGAAAGAAGCCACCCAGGAAACTCGAGATGCGCATGCCCAACAACGGCGCCTCGCCGACCAACATCACTTTCAGCGCACCTTTCCTCGACAACACACTCGCCAAGCTCCTTACGCTCCAGAACCGCATGCTGACAGTCAGCAACGACATCGCCGCGTGCGAAGACGTAGACGACAAGACCAAGCAGGAGCAGTTTGCGCAGAGCGCTGAATTGAGCCGCATCATCGCCCTGATCTGCGCTGAGAAAGCCAGACAGGGTGCTTAATATGTTACTTTTGTCAAAGCAACGAGTAGTTACGAGCTTTTCTTTTTCGATGGCGTTGAGGATATGTAATCAAAAGGGTTTGACCGTAGTAGCGCGCTTTGTACGAATAGTATGATTGACGATAAACATAATAAATTGACATACGAGCACCACCTCCTCACAGTGATACTCAGCCTCAACGCCGTACCGCTTAGCGTACTGGTGTCATGCCACGGCAGAAAGCTACAACACAAGCTAAAAACCTGCGTCAAAAGATCGCCAGCCAGGACTTTGGTTCAGGTCCACTTCGCTGTGCCACAATAACGTCATTTGACGCGGGGCGGCAGCGACCCCCCTGCATGCGACGGGTAGCGAAACAGGTTCAAGCTGCGGTGGCGCCAAAGGCCATGCATCATCGGGAGAACATGATCTGGGGTCTAGCAGTCTAGAATCATAGAGCTCTTCCGATACTACCATAGCTCCTCCGTCGAACCTAGCTCTCGACATCAATTGCAGTCGCGAGATCGATATACGTACGGTTACAATGACGAGCTTCATCTCAAACATCATCTGGAACTCGGTGGAGGGCTTCGTAGATGCCGGAAAGAAGACAGCGGGTGAATATGGTGGAAATGCCTTGATTAAGGCTGGAGACATGATTGAGAACAGTGGAAGGAGTGTGGGAAATGGTAAGTTCCTCTCTACCTCTCCCATCATCCACATACCTCTTAAGTATTGTATTCACTAACACGCGCCCAGGTCTCGAGAAGAAAGCAACAAGCTACGGCACCGCCATCACCGGCCAAACCTACAAACCCACAGCCAAAGCTCTCCCCTCCACAGCACGAAAGCCTGTAGTCAAGCGTTCGAACTCGACCCCCGCGAGCAACAAGCCAACAACCAGTGGAACGCCCCTAGGTGCGAAGAAGTACCCAGGCAGTAACCAAGTCAACGGCGCTGTTGGAGGAGCAAAGAAGACCGTCGGAGGAACTGTCGGAGGACTCAACAAAACTGTCGGAGGAGTAACAGGCGGCGCATCCAAAGCCACCGGCGGCGTCATCGGCCGCGCAAACAGCACCGTCGGCACCGTAACAAACACCACCACAAAAGCCACCTCCGGCCTCGTAGGCGGCGGCCAAAGAGCCATCGGCGGAGCCACAAAATCGATTCCTCCTTTCAAGGGCCCCGGCGCAACTCCCTCAGCCAACAAGGCTCTTCCAAAGCCTTTCCCAGATACCAACGGCCTCCCCAAACCCGCATACCCGACGACCAAAAAGGCGGCAGTCAAACCTGGCCAACCGAAGCCATTTACGCCGCCTACGGAGCAGAAGAAGCCTGATCCTAAGAAAGCTTATCCGGGGACGAATACACTGCCAGGGACGAGTCGGACGCCGGTTCAACAGCAGAGGTTGAAGCCGTTGCCGAAGGCGGCGCCGCAGATTGGGCAGGGGCAGACTATGTCGCATCTTGCTATTTAGGAAGATGAGAAGCGGGGGGGTTTTGGCTTTGGAATGGGGGTGGTATGGCGTTGAGGTGTGGGGATCTGGGAGTGTAAGAATATGGTATGGTGTGTTGGAATTTTATTTGGATGGATATATGAATTGGGGTTTTGTTAGCTGCTTCATCTAGTTCATTATGCTGATGGCCGTGTATTGTTCGAGCATACCTACAAGATGCTTGACTGATCCAAGAATTTGACACGCCGAATGAGACACTCTTGACGTTTTTTCTCCTGTGTATCCACTGCTTTGCTACAAACAGCATAGATACTATACTTACTTGAAATAGCTTTCTAGCACGCAGCGCGTTTGGAGACGGCCGCGAGCTCGGAGAGCTTATCGAGACGAGAAGGCGCAGAAGAGTTGGACGGGTAAGGAACTGCGTGTGGGCTAGGAGTGGACATGTAGACTTTGGTATCGTAGTAAGTATTTGGTTCCCTTTGGAATGGTGTTCGACGTGTGATTTGGGAACAAGTATGGGAATGAGCTCTTGATGCTGGTGGTATTGGTTTGGATGATATCGCATTGCGAATTTCGAGCTTCTAAGCCATGGAGGTAATACCCGACGAGTTTTATCCATCATCGCTTCCGCCTTGGTCTGATGGGATAATTCAGGCACCCTTTCTGTCGTTGGTATTGTGGGAATTGTGAGTGGCTCGTCATCTATTGGTCGCCCCGGTATCCTGGGATGAATGAGCTGGCACAATGTCGCTGATTGATCGTTGATGGTGTTGGTGATGCTGATAATTGATTGATACCCACATAGGTAGGTAGTAGGTACGTGCACGTTGACGGTACTTCGCGTACCTACCTAGGTACTTCGCAAGATCGCAGCACCCCACTCAAGGAAAAAATGGAAACCTCGGAGCCACTTCGTACAGGGGGTAATAGAGAGGACCTGGAAGCCTACCTCATATTAGGACTTGATCATCTTTCTCTTGTTGCCTTAATGTATCCTGCAAAGCACCTATTCAGTTCTCTCTTGTGTGGGGTGACAGCGTCATGACGTGATCACCCACCATAATGTTCAGCCTCAAAGACAAACACAAGGGTAAAGCTATCAATCTAAACTCTACTTCGTTGAGAATTTCGGCCGGTCTGCGGTGTGCGGGCCTAATTCCGTTCCGTCCACGATGTACATCCCCCAATGTCGATCTCCCCGCCCAGCCCCACCTCATCACACTTTATACCCAACACAGCGCATCAGACCGCCTATCATGAAGCTTCGGGGTGGAGTCGTACCGATCTCGGCATTTGGTTAAGCTTCGACATGAGTCTTGGAGTGCTTATATGCTCGCCTCCCCTGCCGCACTCCCGCGCGCTGTCGTTCTTGCTGTACTACGCCTTATCTTGAGACTGTGCGCCGACTAAGATGCGTTTCTTCACCTCGAAAGACCCCGAAAGCGTGGACCAGAACGAGGAGAAGAAGGTCGAGATGATGAAAGAAGGAGATGGAGACGCAGAAGCTGGACCAGCTGCACGGGTGGAAGACGAGATTGACCCGGTGATCGAGAAGCGCGTCCGCCGGAAATTGGACACCCATATCGTTCCTTTACTATCGGCACTGTATCTGCTGGCATTTCTCGACCGCTCAAATATTGGGTACGAAGAAACATCTTTACAATGGAGAGAGCATGGCTAATGTGGTATCAGCAACGCGCGAATCGCGGGTATGGAAGAAGATCTCGACCTGAGTAGTTCGCAGTACCAGTGGCTACTTACCATATTCTACATTTCGTACATCGTCTTCGGATTCCTCGCAATCATGTGGAAAGTCGTACCACCGCGTATTTGGGCCGCGGGCTGCGTCTTCGTCTGGGGTCTCGTCTCGACTGTACAAGCTGCGACAACTTCATGGGGAGGAATGATGGCACTGCGGTTCCTCATGGGAGCTGCAGAGATTGCATATGGGCCAGGCGTGCCATTTCTGCTTTCGTTCTTCTACCTGAGGCATGAGCTTGGGCTTAGGTGTGGGTTGTTCCTATCGGCTGCACCGCTAGCCAACACGTTCGCAGGTGCTCTAGCGTATGGAATTACGAGCGGTAATCCTGGAATGGCGAAATGGCGTGTATTGTTCTTGGTAGAAGGCTTGCCTACAGTCGTTATGGCTGTAGTTGCATTCTTTTTCTTACCAGACAGTCCGGAAAAAGCGAAGTTTCTGAATGAAGAGGAAAAGGCGGTTGCGAGAGCTCGTGGTGTGGCACAGGCTGGCGCTGGAACAAGAATTGGAGCTATCAACTGGAAAGAGATGTTGGAGGGACTGATGGATCTAAAAGGCTGGATACTCGGTGTAAGTCTGACAACGCGATGTCGCGATACTTGACTGACCTGAATAACAGCTCATGTACTTCTCCGGGAACGTTGCATTCTCCTCATTGCCGGTGTTCCTTCCCACGATCCTCAACGAAATGGGGTTCTCGAAGGTTAATGCGCAGGGCCTCACAGCACCGCCATTCTTCTTGTCCTTCCTCACAGTAATCGCCACATGCTACATCGCAGATCGGACGCAGCAGCGAGGTATCATGATCGCTATCCTCACGGCCATTGGAGGGATTGGCTATGTCATCCTGGCAACCACGAAGAGCGTAGGAGCGAGATATTTCGGAGTCTTTTTGGCTGCTGCTGGTATTTTCCCGGCTATAGGCAACGTACTGCCTTGGGTCACGAACAATCAAGGCAGCGATACTCGGAGGGGTACAGGAATAGTCATCCTGAACTTGATCGGTCAATGCGGACCTCTGCTGGGGACCCGATTGTATCCCACATCAGAAGGGCCATTGTACGTCAAGGGCCAATCCGTATGTGCTGGATTCATGTTTCTGTTCTGCCTGCTATCTCTTTTGCTGAGAACAATTCTCGCGTGGGAGAACAAGAAGCTGGATCGCAAGTACGGGACATTGGCGCAGCAAAGGGAAACCGGTGGAAGCAAGAGGGAACTAGGCGAAAACTATGGCCCGAGGTTCCGCTACGTTTTGTAGGTGTAGAGCTACCAATAACAAACCAAGCTGTTATCGCACTGCAGTGCCACTCGATATGCAGCTTGACGCGGGGTATGCTGAGGCCAGAGAGATACCCAAGTATGGAATTGTTTGATCGGCTTCATCGAAAAGTGTCCCTTGCTCTTTCTAATCTATTGATGACTAGTGACGCACGGAATTACCATTAGAGGTCGGGGTAGTGAAAACAAGCGTAATAGCGCCAAATCAAGTGCTAGGGCGAAGCAATGGCGCATGCAGGATTGCCATGTTCCCGAATCGGCAATTGACCACGCGACAGCCGTTGCTCAGAACAGCCACCAACGTGTACAAACCAGTCGTCGCACTGACAGGCAGACTGCAGGGCATTATCGCGGAGATGGCGACAGAGATGGGGTTGCTGGCAGCAGTGTGCGCGAGATCCACCGGATGGTTCACACATGCGAACTGCAAAGCTGGAGAGGCTAGACCCCCCGGGCGGGCCCACACTTCCAGGGCACGGACACCGAGTAACGTCACTGGTAGATTCAGGACCAGATTCGCAGCAAATCCACACTCAGCACTTCCGACGCGCTTTTTCACCCACTCTCCTGCGTGTCTACTTATCAGTGGCCCATCATTGCTGCACACCCCCGTCACACAGCATTAACACTGCAATTGTTATCTTGATCCACGCGCCTTCCCGTAATGGCCTCAAATCCGTCTGGCCCTGCTGGCCTCGACGCCGGCACTGCTGCCACCTCCAGCGGCCCTTCGTATGCGGCAACTGCAGCCGCTCCACCCAAGAAAAAGAAGACGCATCGCGGTGGTAAGAAGCGCAAAAACAGGAGACAGAGTTTTGCAGCTGGAGCCGATCTCGCGCAAGGCGACTCCATGATGGAGGAGCGCCCGAGTCTGGCCAATGTCGCTAGCCATGGGCAGTCGCGAGGGAGCAACGGCTTCTACCGCACCCACAGCAACCTCAGCAACACAAGCCTCGAGAGCGAGGCTCTGCTGGACCACCGCGAGCAGCCTACCATCCGGACGCGTCGTCCCAGTGTGCCTGTAACGTCCATGTACCAGCCGAGGGCAAGTCAGCCCAGCGTCAGCACGCCCCAGCGGCTTCAAGCCGCAAACTCCTACGGCCGCTCACGCCTTTCGCACACTCCCGAGGAGAACTACAGTGATGGCGAAGACGATGCGGATGATAGAACGCCACTCATGGCTTCTTCTCAACGCGACATCAGGACATCCACTAGCTATGGCTCCAACAACGGCAAGCCTCGCCGAGGAAGCAAGAACTCCGCAAAGAGCTTCAAGCATATGCCCATGCCTGAACACAGGCCGGATCTGTTCACCCAACACCACCACTCTACAACCAACCTCGACGACTACGACGTAAACAACCCCCCATCCGTACCTACGAGCCCAGCTTTCGAGGCTAGCAGCGGTCTAGACGATGTCATGCTTCCGACAGACTTGGACCACCTGTCCGACCCAGGAAGGTCTAACAGTGCATCTCGAGATGCACTCATCAACATCGATGAGGACGCCCATTCAGGCACTCCACCTACTCCGGGCGACTTCACGCGCCGCATGACCGGTTCTGCGCTTGAAGATGTCTGCTTCCCCCACGAGGACATGTCTGAGATGGGACACGAAGATTACATGAACGCCCCCACAACCGGTGAGCCTACCACTCGCCGAAGACGCCGCCGCTGGCCCGATCTCGGCGTTCTACAAGCTTGGGCGCACGAGGAGAAGGAACAACGGACTATTGAAGGCATGCGCATGCGCAAGGTTAGCGAACCGCTCATGGTTGAAGGACGCCTCCGTCCGAAACGACGCGTCTGGCATCGCGAAGACAGCGACGCTCCCTATCGCTTCACGTACTTCAACGAGACGTTCGACAACACCATTCACAGCCAGAGCATCAGCGAACTCTTGCAACCAGGACAGAGCTTCAGGAATCTCTTCGTTCCTGATCCACCGATCCTGGACGACGACAGCGATTCTTCCGACACAGAAGATGACATGCTGCATGCTGGCCCCAACGGCGGCTACTCCTCACGCACAACAACGCGTTCGACTTCGAAGGCCGAGGGCAAGTACTCTTCTGGAGAACAGACGCGCTCAACAACCCCGCGTCCAACGGATGCAGGAAAACCCGACAAGCCCAATGGCGAAAAGCCGAAGCGGTTTGGCCCACGGCCTGCCTGGTGGTTGGATGTCATGTCCCCCACGGAGACTGAGATGAAGGTCATTTCTAAGACGTTTGGCATACATCCATTGACCTCGGAAGACATCCTCATGCAAGAGCAACGCGAAAAGGTCGAGCTGTTCAAGCACTACTACTTCATCAACTACCGTACTTTTGAGCAAGATGAGAATAGCGAGGATTATCTAGAGCCCGTCAACTTGTATGTTGTTGTGTTCAGAGAAGGCGTAATAAGCTTCCACTTCTCTATGACACCACATCCTGCCAACGTCCGCCGCCGTATTCGCCAACTTTCTGACTACCTTGTCCTGTCACCTGACTGGATCTCGTATGCCATCATTGACGATGTCACCGATGCATACGCGCCCATGATCCAGAAGATTGAAGAAGAGGTTGATGATATCGACGAGGCTATACTGCGACTCCATTCCAGCGAAGAAGAACAAGAAGCGGAGAAGGAGAAGTCATACAGCTACAACAACCCACACTACAAAGAGCCTCCCGAAATCAAGTCGCAGCAAGAAACCGGCCGAGACATGTTGCGACGTGTGGGTGAATGCAGAAAGAAGGTTATGAGCCTCTACCGCTTGTTGGGCAACAAGGCCGATGTCATCAAGGGTTTCGCGAAGCGATGCAACGAGCAGTGGGACATCGCCCCTCGCAACGAGATTGGCATGTATCTTGGAGATATCCAGGATCACATCGTCACTATGACAGGTAACCTGAGTCATTACGAGAAGTAAGTTGAACCCTGCACAACTAAAGACCGCGAACTAATCAGCTCTTCAGTCTCCTGTCTCGTGCTCATAGCAACTACCTTGCCCAGATCAACATCAGGATGAATGAACGTCAAGAGAAGACGTCTGATATTCTTGGCAAGCTTACTGTGCTCGGAACGATCGTCCTGCCAATGAACGTTGTGACGGGTATCTGGGGTATGAACTGGTGAGTCAAGACCTCAACCCTGATCGAACGATAAGCTAACCAAACGCAGTCTTGTCCCTGGCCAAGATATCGAGAACCTCAACTGGTTCTGGTGCATTACTGGAGGCCTCATCACCTTCGGCCTTATGTGCTACTTCATTGCGAAGAGGGTGTACGGCATCGTTTGATCACGTTCAAGAGAAAAGCATAGACTGCCATTTGGTTGAGAGAACACATTGTATCGCGTGGCGTTGGTGGTCGGGTTTCGCTCGCGTTGAGTCGTCCCTGGTTTGAGTTGGACCAAGACAGTACACACGTTTGCTTTTGTACCACTACTACATATCGGAGTCAGGCTTGTCGTTCGACTAATTAATGACAGTTGTTTGATTTCCAACCGTCAGTGTGCTCTGCTGACCCGCTTTCGTATGTTATTTCCTCACAGTGATACCGATGTCCGCGCAGTCATCTGGCCCCCAGTGTCGCCCCTCTTTGAAACACAGACGGGAGGCCACGTACAGTGAGTGTTATCGCCCAGCCGTGTTTACCGGCAGCTATGCGTCTCCGGTGAGCGAGAGAGAAAAGTGGGTATCTACCGGGAGGTGGCTTCGTTTCATACAGTCACTCCAGGTGGTGAGTCGTTGAGAAGCTGAGACATGTCCAATAGCAAGAATGTGGCTTGTTTCGGCAGTGATGTAGTCACTAGGGGAGGACAGATCTACTGGACTAAGAGACAGAGTCTCACGGCGCGGATCGTGGGCAGGATGCACATGGTGGTGAGGGTGTGCACTGGGGTTCTTAAGGCAGTGCTTTGGACGTCTGCATGGTGCAGCCTGTTGGATTCTATCCCGATCTTCACGGTACTCTGATGCACGCCTCAATCGATCGAAGTAGGTCAGACACAGTGCGCTCCCTTGCAGCGAGGGTCTGGCTTGTAGTATGCATGCCCGTGATGTGTTCAGTACGTTGGGCAGGTGCTGCTCCGTCACGATGCAAAGGACCCGGCGAGTTCACGGTCGTGGAAAAACTCTTCAACGGTCTCATCGATGTAGTTTTCTGTCGATCGCGTCAAGAACATGCTTCTTGCGAGGCGTTCTATGCGAGGTGGGCAGGGTGACCCTGGGAGTATTGGGTTGCTTCACTTTTGGGCTTTGAGTGCGGTGACGCAGGAAGGTTCTTGTCTTGCAGCTTGGTGCCAGGTTGGGCCCAAGTCCTATCTTCGATGCCGCTGTCCCGTTGATGGAGTCACCAGGCAGCCGGCAGCGATGGGGAAGGGGCAGTCAGCGGCGTGAGTCGTTGTCAGCCGCAGAAGCACCGTCCACATGCTCGAGCGCTCACCGCATGCGGGGCTATGCGCATACGTGATGGCGCAATGTCCGGTGAGTTCTTGGTGCCCACAAAAAGAAACTTCTAGCGAATGTGACAGCTTGCAGGTAATGGTTCGCATAATGTGCGATGCGCGCGCTCCCGTCGTGGCTCGATGTAGGGCTGCGACGGCGCGGTGTGCCCATCTGGCTGCGAAGAGGGTACCTAGGTAAGGCAGACAGACTGCGCGCAGACAGGCACTGCCCGACGGCGCCCGTATGTATTTAGTCACTGGAGACGCGGTGTTGAAACACATGGTCCAGCGTGCGGTCGGTTGAGGTGGTGCGATTGGTTTGACGTCATCGGCCTCAGGGTACCTCTTGCCTTCTGGGCAGGCCAGAATCAAGTCTTCTGACGGGGTCCGCTATTTCTGACACTTGACGTCGTCTGCCCTACTCGCGTTCACCCTCTTATTACCCCACCTCGTTTGCTGTCGCAGTCCGCCAGTATTGCGCATCCCCAACCATAGTGAGCGTGTTGATCAACACTCTCGCCAATCACCCAGCCCCGCCCGCTCGCGATCGACGCCTGCGAGTACCCGCCCTCGCTCAGCCGTTCACAGTCACGCCTAGCAGCGAGTCACCACGACTGGCTACGTAGGCGAGCACCCGCCGCCAGAGTCTACAAACATCCCCTATCCTCTGCTCCCCTCCTGCATTGCATTCGCATTGCGCGCACTTCCGAGCCACTGCAACTTGCCCCTCCACTTCTCTTTCCACGACTCCACGCCGCACCATGTCGGTCATCTACAAGAGGAGCGAGCGCGACCGCGAGTGGGACACCACGTCCACGCGCACTGGTGCCACTGGCTACACCACGGTGCGGCGCTACAAGGTGCCCGATCACAGCCTCGAGGAAGACACGTACGAGACCGAGATGCGCATGGTCCACCGTGGGCGCGACGACTTCGACGACCGTCGCTCCGTCAAGGACTATCATATCGAGCGCCATGAAGCGCCTGCTCCCCAACGAGAAGTGAGACACTACCACTACGCCGAGCGTGAGCGCGAAGTTTCGCCCGTTCGTTCCGAGTATCGCATCCAGCGCGAATACGAGCGCTCCCCCTCACCTGCGCGCACCGAGATCCGCATCTCCCGGGACTACGACCGCGAGCGCGAGATCTTCCCACGGGAGCAGCCCTATGAGTTGGAGAAGTACTCGAGGTCTACTGAGTATTTCCGCCCCGAGCCGCTGCCCCAACCCCCACCACCCCAGCCCCAGTCCATCTACATCCGCAATGAGGCCCCCCAGCCCCAGCAGATGCCACCCATGCAGATGCAGATGCAGCCTATTATTATCCGCGAGGAAGCCCCTCAACCCATCATCATCCGCGAGCGCGTCCAAGAGCCATCCTACGAGCTTGTTGAACGTACTGAAGAAGACAGACAGGTTGCTCGTCCGCAGCGCCACGAGGAAGATTACTACTACGAGCGCAGAGTGAAGGAGATCGATCGCGGCGGTCGCTACGATGAGCGATACGCCGACGAGCGTGAATACGACCACCGATGGGGAGATAAGAACTACTACAGCGACGACGACATCTATATCCACAAGGAAAAGGATACCTGGGGCGGGAGCGAGACCCGCACCAAACGTGATGTTGCTGCAGGTGCTCTTGCCGGAGTCGCTGCAGGACAAATCATCAGGCATCACCGCAAGAGAAAGGGTGAAGCCGCTGGAGGCAACATAGGAAATGCCTTGGGCTACGGCACGCTCGGTGCTGTGAGTGCTGTGGCTCTCGATAGATTTAACAACCGTGACAGATCCCGGTCTGTTTCTTCTGATCGTGGCAGAGGCAGCCGCCGTGCCAAATCTCGCCACCGCAGCAAGTCGAGGGTGAAGGAGCTGGGCACGCTTGCCGCACTCGCCGGTGTTGGAGCTCTCGCCTACGCTGCCGGACAGAGGAACAAGAACAAGGTGGTCAAAGAGGAGACGGTTACGGTCATAGAAGATCGGCACCGAAGCAGGTCACGTCATGGAGGCAGATCGCGTTCTAGGAAGAGCCGAAGAAGATCCAGGTCCGCCTCAGTGGCTGATGACAGGGGTAGGTCTCGTAGCACGAGCAAACACCTAGACCCTGAGCATCGCAACAACAGAGCAGCGCAAGTTGGCCTTGCCTCTGCTGCTGTAGCCGGTCTTGCGGCACGCAGCCGTAGCAAGTCTCGAAAGCGCAAGGGCAAGCGCTCACCTAGCCGGATCCGACAGGGTGTGCCAATTGCTGCCGCTGGCGTTGCCGGCGCAGCTGTCACTGGACTTTATGAGAAACGCAAGGCTAAGAAGGAGGCTAGGGCGGCATCGCGGTCCAAGTCAAGGTCGCGCTCAAGGTCCAGGTCAGTCCTCTCCCGCCTCACCGGACGCAACCGCAGCAGACGTGGAAGTACAGTGAGTGAACCTGTTTTAGTAGAGTACGGCGATGATCCGGTGTACACCGATCGTGCCAGTAGTCGCAGTCGAAGCCGGGACCGCAGCCGCGCGCACCGTAGACGGCGAGGAAGCTCTTCTTCCTCTGGTGGCCGACGAGGAAGCCGGAGCCGGAGCCGCAGCAAGAGTCGGTCACGAAAGGTCGCGGAGACGGCGGCGGTTGCCGGTGTAGCTGGTCTGGCTGCCCATGAAGCAGCGAAGCGGCGCGACCGTAAGAAGGCCGAAAAGGAAGCCGAACGACGACGTGAGTCCACCCCACGCCCACACCGCAATTAGCATACTCAACATCACCAGGCGAGGAGGATTCAGCCTACTCCACAGGCACCTACAGCCCCTACGATAGTCCCACTCCCACCACTGTGTCCACTGCCTCCACTGCCCATCCTAACGACTCTCGCTACTTCCCTGAGACGAATTACTTTCCCCCTCCCCCTAGTGCTCCAGTAGACCCCAACCCCAACCTCAACTTCAATCCCAACACCAACAATCCTTATCCTCCGTATAACCCAGCAGACTTCCCTCCGCCTCCCCAGAGCGCATACGAGCCAAACCATCCCTCACATTTCGTCAACCCACCACACGACGACTTGCATCTCGGCAATCCATATGCACCCCAGCACCAGCAACAACACGAACCCTATTACGGCCAGCCACGACGTGGGGGTGACAATGTGAGTGCTCCAGTTCCTGATGGCGGTAAAGAGCACCATAACTTTGCGTCTTCACGTGGTGGGTGGAGGCCGCTGCCTGCCCATGAATCTGAACAATTCGCTGATACCAGACCAGGGCCCGTAGACGACCCACCTAGCCCGAGTCCGTCACCGGAAGAAGACAAGAGCGTCCATTTCGACCCGATCCCACAAGAACGAGAGATACCCTCCCGATCGGCCTCACGATCACGGGAGTCTTCATCCGATTCCGATTCCGAAAGGCAACACAGACATCGAGACGACCACAGTCACAAGCGACACAGGCGACGCAGGGATGACGAACGATCGGATGCTACACGAGAGTCTGGCAGGGCCCGGAAAAGGCGTCACCGCTCTGAGAGCCCTGGGTCAGATACCTCTGATGCTACCATTGAACTGCCACCGCGCTTCGACGAGAGGGGGCGGCAGCAGCCTGAGGACCCATTGGCGGAGAAGTTGGAGAGTATTCTGCAAAACATCTTTCGATAGCGTCTCCTGCTTTGTTGATTCTCTCTTTCTTTTGAGTTACATCTTTTCGGTTTACAGAGGCACTTGATACATGTTTCTTGGAGTTTCTTTACTGTGTTTGGGCGTTTCGAGATGGGTTGAATCATGAGAACGAAGTTACGATATCACTGCATTGAGTTGTATTCCTGTAATTATGCGTAATACTTTTTCCTTCGTACACTCTATTATGAAATGTTATGTTTTTAATGTTTGCAAGACTGCCTCGACTGCCTATGTTTTATCGTGACTAACTGTCTTGGGAGACTGCGAAATCAGAAGTGAAGGTGGCCATGGGACGCGCCTTCCTTGTTACACCTCAGGGTCGCCGTGGCTGCTCCTTCTGTAGACGTCCCAGCTTGGCATTTCGATAAACTTCACCATCACTCTCACTTCCTCCTCTCTTTAACCACACCTTCCCCCCGCTGCCGCATCGATCCCTCACATCCCTTCGCACCTGTTTCGCTCACTTCTCAACAACATGATTGCGCCACGCTGCTTCTCAGTCTATGCCGCGCTACTGACGGTTCTCGCAACAGCAGCACTTTCTGCTACTGATGACTCGCCCTTTCCGTGCACTGGGTAAGCTGGCAGACTCACATTCTGCACAGTCACCAAATCTAATGCGCGCAGTGGTTCTATCTACTTCACCGGCCATACAGTCGATGGCCTCCTCTTCCAGAACCCAGATCTATACCACGACCTCTATGTTTTCAAGTGCGTCACGACGGTCGTCTTCACAGCAGATAGCGGTGGCGAAGCAGCCAACAACACTCGGGTGCAGGAGTTGGAGCGCGGTCTCGAAGATGCCTACAAGTTCATGTCCGACGTGGCTTCTGTTAGGCCGGATGGCACGCAGTCCACGTCTACTCCGAACGAGGAAGCGCCACGTAAGGTGCCACAAAAGATCCTCATACTGCACAATGAGACTAACCAGTATACAACAGTCACTAATGAGACCACAGTCCAGATCGGCAAACACACTATTGTCTCTTCTTCTCTCCTCGGCCTAGCCAACGCACAGATCCTCTACCTTCGTCTACCGGACAGTACATACTTCGGAGAAGGCTACAAAGCATACGGCGAAGAGTCACTCAAGAAGTTGTACAGCGCAGACATATCGGAGATTACCACTACCGACGGCAAGGCCACGTACACGATCGACGATCTGAAGGACATCATCGCGACGATTCTTCGCGATCGCCGAGCTAACCAAATTCGCGTGATGAATTACCAGTCGGATCTTTCTACGGATAATGACGATAATCAGCTCGACCATGCTGATCGTATCGTCTCTGCTAAGCTCGTGATGGATGTTGTGGAAGAGGAGGAGATTGGTGGGAATGTCACGGCGTGAGTTTGGTTTCACGATCGCTTGAAGACGGGCATGCTAACGCTGTCAGATATGCATGCGACTCGTTGCGTATACTGTCAACCAACAACCTCGAAACGCCGGACTACATTAAGAAGGTCGATGCATTCTTTGAGTATGCTAAGCATGATCCCGACATGGTAAGTTGAAGACGCACTGCACAGTCTTGTGTGCATGTAGTAGTTCACTGCTGACTAAAATTCAGTGCCAGAGCCTTGACGAGTGTGGTCAGCGGCGCCAGAATATCAAAGATCCCTCCAAGGTCAAGTATAACGAGGTAGATCACGTCGCCAACTTCCTGAAGCGGGAGTACTACATCCGGATAGACACCGATGTCTGACTCCGAAACATGTACTAGTATAGGATACTGTCAGGGATGGTATGAGAAACTTTCTTCGATGATGGAAAGATAATTGTGGTGGATTGTGAGATGCTACATAGGATAGATACCACAAAAGGAATGAAGTCATATTCCCACTCACTGCGCCCTCAACACCTTCAATGCAAAAACAAGAAAAGCTCAAGCCTCATCCTTCTTCCAGCCCGTCTTCCGTTTAGTGTCAAATTCAGACGGACTCAGCCTCCGTGCAGTAGGCTCTTGCCCAGGAGACCTCGGCGGCGAAACATCCTTGTTGTCTTCCTCTTCTGGTTCCCAAGCCCTCCGCTTCTCCAACTTTGCCTTCAAAACAGGATCCATACCATCCGTGCCCGATGGCTTGCGCTGCGGCACAGGCGGCGGCGGCTTCCTGCTTTCGCTCGTCCTCCTCAATCCTGCCCTCGAGTCCATGGCGACGGGCATAACAGGCGGAATCTGGCCCCTTACCTCCCTCACAACAGGGACGTCAGACGCTGCAATGGCGCCACCAAGGCGCGCGAATGGTGCTGGGCTTGTGGGGGACATGGGTATGCCTGAGGTTGATGGCGTTCCGGGGATCTCTTGCGAGGGGTGCATGGGGGCACGACGGTTGCCTAGCATCATGTGACCATATGTTTGGTCGCCAACAGCGGGGAGAGAGTAGTTGATTTCTTTTGGTGCGGGCTTGGGTGCTGGAGGGGGGCGGGGTGCAGATTTGTTGACGGTGGGTTTGGGGG